CATGATTCAGAGAGGAGAAAACAACTTTAGAGCTGAATACAAAACAGACAGTGTAAATCATGACAAAACATTAATCTACCAGGGTTTAAAGCCAATTATTTTTTTAATGCTCTCTATCTTCAGTAGATCCTCAAGAGAAATGCACACCATACTAAATTAAAAAATGTACTCATTAGGATTCAAAAAATGAATTTAAATCTTTTAGTGTTAAGTATTTCTAATGATTTCTAAATTTAATTAGTGAGCAGCATGCTTGCTATCAATATATTTTTGTGTATGATTGTATTTTCAAGGAATGACAAAAACTAAGGCCAGCTAAGGTGAATATATTGTTTGACACCCTGGAGAAGACAAAAAATACAAAGATACATTTTCTTGGTACCCAACCATTTTCAATTCTAGTTCTTGACCTTTGAGCATTATTCATATTTAAGCAGAATCACAAACAAACCCTGTTTTCATTTGACTTCTCTCCTCTAATATCTTATTATGGAATTGACTTAAATTTTACAATATCTTGAACAGGAAGCTTTTTCTGAGATAAGCATGATTGTTCTGTTGGGAGTGGTCTTTTAATGTTATTGTAGTTTTTTTTTTGATTTTTTTTAATATGCATTTTCCTCTAGGAGTCCATTTGTCATTGCAGATCATGATGTAATTGTGGTAGGCGGGTGCTTATCCCTTTTAAATGTTGGCAATAAGCTCCAAACCTCAGAATGGTACACAGAAGCAGGATGGAGTGTGTGAGATGATAAAGGGGTAGGAAAAAGCTCTTGCAGTCAGGGAAAGGAAACCATGATCCTGCACTGCCAACCACACATTAATAACTGGCAACCACTAATAAATTCAGTAGGCTCTGAGGACTTCACAGAAGCTGAATGACACAATATAAAAGAGATTGCATTTATTCTGGCTGGGAGATGAGTTCATTTGTCCAAGCTGCTCTTTGTAGCCTGTCTGAATGGCACCAGCATCCTAATTTTGCATATATTAAACTGGAGTGGCTGTTTATCATTAAGGTGCTTTTCTCTAGGCATGCACAACATTAATAGTTGTACAGACTAATAAAACAATAAAGCTAGGTTGCCCTGAAGGAATTTTTGGCCATGGAGCTCATGGCAGCTTCTTCTGTCTGCAGCGGTTTGGGGATGGTGCCAGTGTTAACTAGAGCTTCCTACTTGGCATGTCCTGAGGGCTTGGGCATTTTTACTGCAGATGTTTGCAAGCAGTGACGTTGTTTGTGTGTGCATGCACACACATACGTGTTCCTTTAGCCCTGAGGTTTGCTCCAGGTATATCAGACTGCAACTAAGGTAAGACAGTGATGTGACTGGCCTGGGAAAGGTGGAGTAATTTCACTGTCCACTGTGGAATGGACTTCTGAGTGAAGTTCACTGAGTTTCAGTGAACCTGAAACACTGATAAGGTGAGAGATGCCACATGATGTTTGATTTAGGCTGTCCAGCATTTTCTATTTACTGCCTTAGACACTAAAGCTGGTGACGAGGTAGTAGCTGGAGACATTTGCTGCAGCAGTGGCAGGTTCCCTGTCACTTTACTGATCTTAGAAGCTCAGCATCTAGTAAAAATTCGTTTCTGCCAGCTCTTCTTGGTAGTTCAGGTAGAGGAAGAAAGCAGTTCCTTTCATTTGTTTTAAACTTTACACTTGTGTGAGATGAATGATTGTTTGATCTCCTACCTCTTTTTGTTGACTACAGAGGCCGTGAAAAAGACTACCTCAAAGACCTATCTGTCTTTCAGATGGTTAAAATTATGTGACAGGGAGCTTCAAGAACTAAATGGGTTATTTCATCTTTCCTTGAAATTACCTGATATTTTTCTATGAAGTAGATACTCATTGTAGCAGCCAATATTTACATTGCTTATGTTGCACATCTACACACGGGTCATGGATGTTCTTCCCAGATCTCTTTCATAGTTCATACCATAAATATTCCCTGCAGCTCTAGGCTTCTGCCCACATGTCAGATTAAATTGGGGTGAAAATGCAATTAGTGTCAGGAGATCTGAGTTCAGAATTTTGTGCCATAGCGAGCTCAACTGTGGCTTCAATTGTGGAAAACAGGCTAAGTGTTTTGAGTGGAATTATTACCTAATTACACTTACCTAATTACATTTTAATTAGGATGAGTAGCCAAGAGTTCAGTATTCCCAATAAGAAGAGACTTCTGTCCAAAGGCTTTGACAGTTCTTTGGAAGGTGCACAAGAAAATTATCAATTTCAATCTGTTTTGGTTTTAATAACCCATTCCTGTCATTTTGTGTATTGATAGACTAAAGAATTAGTAAATTTTTAAGTGTACTGTAAATTCTGTAAGTATGGATTGCATTTTTACTTTCCTTTTTTCACAAAGTGATTTTGCTGTGGGAATGTGTTCATAGACTGACATTTCACAGAATTTTACAATGATTAGCACAGAAATGGAACATGGACTGCTCTGCCTCTGCATATATTCCAGAAAGAATTGCAGCAAAGTCTATGACTTTCACCTATTCAACATTTTCAATTTGGTGTGTTAGCTGTTTTCAATCTCCTCCATATCTAATTTTGGTACTTTGTGAGGCGGATGTAAAATAGTCAGTCCATCAATATATGTAATAGTAAGAAGGTCAAACAGATTGTTCTGTTAGTAAACAGAAAAATGCCTTGTTGGAAATTTGGTTACCTGCAAGTGTGCTTGTGGTCTGAAAAATAGCATTGCAAATTTTTATACTTATTGTCTTCCTATTTCTTTGTCTTCGGATTTATTCAGTTTATTTTGTTGTGTCTTTTCTAATTGCAGTATAAGTGTTTCTCATGTTAGACTGCTGTTTTAACTGTTCTGCATTCCAAAGCTATTAGTTTATCTACTTCAACACAGACCAGTAACCTCTTTTATGATATTTGAATGTTTCCTAGTCACTGCTTAATGTATACTTACACAATTATTTCCCTGGGACTGCTTACATGCTTAGGATATAATATGTATATGTACTGAATATTTCAGAGTTGTCCTTCAATTAAAAATTATTTTAATCATGTGCAAGTCATGATTAACTTATTTCTAACTTTGTATATGTATCTCAGATTGCTCTGTTCATGGGAATAAAATATAATAAATCATGTTCTTTAGATAAGCAGATATAATGACTCAAAAGGCACGAAGTTTACACATCTGTTGGATAAAGCACTTCCATGTTTATACAATAACTTTCCAAAGAGGAAATGTGCTTTAATCACTCATGTTTTTCATTTCTCTGCCTGATGTTCCCAGGAGCAAGTTCTTCTGGGCATCACATTAAAGCATTCAGAGATACTAGTCAGTGCTGCTGCAGCATCATTCCCAGCCATACTTTGACTTCTTTTGCACAAATAGAGAACAAATCAAACTGTGATGTCTGAATTCTCATGAGAAAGAGTGTAGTGAGAGACAAATGTGAGTCCAATAAGAGACCAAATAAAAGTTACAAATATAATCTGGTTATCACCCCACAACTGTGACTTTGCGGACTTTCCTAGATACTGTTTTGAATCGTTCTCTCAACATGCAGATGTGCTTAATCTAGGATCCTGCTATTTAAAACCAACCAACCAACCAACCAACCAACCAACCAACCAACCAACCAACCAACCAAAATGTTCATGAGATTCTATTACAGAGGTATTCGTAAAGCATAATGACAAAGTACAGTACAAAGTGTGATTCAGTCAGTTCTACTGGATTGGTTACATAAACCTAAATGCTACAGAAAAATTTAAAAAGTTTCCATTTGTTACAGAGGGACAGAAAGAATTGTTCATGTTCTCCAGAAAACCGCGCTGAAGGATCTTTAACATTCTTAGTATCAAGGCATTTCAATGATAAAAGCCCTTTGCACATTTTCTCATTCTAGTTTGTTTCATCTTGTTCAGCTGCTCTCTCACTGTTACACATTAAACATATATTTTGAAAGGATTTGTGCCAGGACATGTTTGTGATGATGTGAAGGCCATAACCTTTCCAGTACTTCTTCATAGGATATTTTCCTTTAATTATTTCCATCCTCGGTATGTGAAATTTAATTTCTCAGTTTTAAGTGGAGTAATTTCTATAAATGCACTCTGATATCTTCCTTTCTACCCTGATCCTTTTGTAACAGAATTTTGGCACCTCCATTTTTGACAATCTGACTTTGTAGCAGAACCTCAATGGATTACCTAGGACAAGAAAGCTTAAAATCATTACAGGAAAGGTAAGGTCGGCACTTTAATATTAACTGCCACTCAATTATATTCCAAAGGATCTCAAGCAAGTTCTTATGCAGAAAATTGCTTACCAGAAGAACACAATATTTTCTTATATAATTTCTTAGTCTTCATATTTTTAAGATTCTATTTCTGCAGTTTTTTTCCTGACAGCTATTGTTTGTGCATCTTTACATTGACTCTTCAAAGGATCTGTTTTAACTTTGTTTGGCACATATATTCACTTCTGTGATTCAATTAAAATATATATAAGAAATCTGCATTCTGTGCATACAGATTTTTCTTCCCCAGACTTCAAGGCTGTCTTGGCTAGCTGCCTCATTTCCTGAGAGTCCTCCTAGCCCAATATTACTGAATCTTTCATATTACTCAATACATCTCTTCTCACAGATGTGTTTAATTATATCACAAGAGCTTTAACTTTTTTTTTGGCTGAACTGCTGTTTCTTCCAGATCCAAGTCAAACCAGATGTCCTACTTAAAGCTCCTATCTCAAATTAAAGTTTTTTTCTAAAACTGCTAAATTTTTCTAATTCTGCTAAAAACTGGTATAAGGAGCTGAGTGCAGAAATTTGGGCTCTTGGTTAGAGGTGGTGCCCTCTGCACAGTCTCTGGCATGAGCTAGGAAGCAGGAGCTGTAGAAGGGCAGTTGCTTCAATAGGGGGAAGGATGAAATAAATCACAGAAAGGAATCACAGAATATTCTGAACTGCAAGGAACCCACAAGGATCACTGAGTCCAACACTTAAGTGAATGGACCATATGGGGATCAAACCCTCAAACCTGGGGTTATTAGCACCATGCTCCAACCAGCTGAGCTAATCTCACTGCTGTGCTCACTGATCACTTCTTTACTTTCTTCAAAAAGAAAGTTTTCCATGGACTGAATGCTGGGTAATTGCCAGCTAGACAAACCCATAAAAATAAGCCGGTCTTAAATTAGAAAAAGTGTTTTAAAGAACAGGCATAAAAATTCTAGTCCTCTATGTGCCAACCATATTCCTGATGCTTTCTCCAAATTCCTTTTCTAGCATTTGATTCTCATGGAAAGTTTTATGGAACGTGTTATAAGGGATGCTTCTAAATTCCCACAAAGAAGACTTGTTAAATGGAGGTGAGGAAAAGAGGAACAAGTTGTGGGGAACCTGCAGAGTATTGGAAATCACAGGATTTATTACAATGTCAGACATTTCTGGGAAAAAAAATCCATGCATTCTAATCTTGATCATTTTTATTATGAGAACATTTCAACAAGGAAAGAGAATTGTTCTTCAATTTAAAAGAATTTTATGACAGCTAGTGACACATTATTCTGACATTTAACCAGTGGATTAAAAATTATATAATAAAAATGAGGGGGGAACTGTTTATTACAAATGAACCAAGTTCAGCTTGCAACATGGTTGAAAACCTTGGGAAGGGTAACTTATGTGTAATTCCCAGTTTAAGAGACCTAATTTAAGTGGTCTGGTGGTCAAGCTCAAGCTAAACCATCAGAGAGCCTTTCTATTTAGTACATGAATTGCTGACCTTAGGTTCAGTGAATTTAAAGGAGTGCTCACCTGCTGTTTCCACAAAGAAAGAAAATTTGGTGGCTTTCTTTGCTTCTGAATTTGGATCAGTAATTTTTACTATGGCAGAGTGGATTTTAGACAATGATTGTCAAATTACAAACAGCAAGTTGCTAACACCTAAGGGTTTATCAGGTTGTACTCTTGATTGCTTGCACATTTATGAGAGTTTCCTGGGCTCAGAAATTAATAATGGTGCTTTAGCAGTTTTCAAAGCCACACTCCAACTCAGCATGTTTTACCTTGTGACTGCTTCCATTTCCAAGATACATTCTCCCCTGTAGCACTCTCCTTGACAAGACTGGGCATTTTACACACTGGTCACTACCTGCCACATTGGTACTCTAAAAAAATAAACAATTTTCCAGAGAAAGAGGTGCAAAGGAGTGATGGTTTCCTTGGAAACATTTTGCATATACAAGTCTGAATTTTCATCTGAGTATTTCCCAAACCTTTCTTGAACCATTGAAGGAGTGAAGAACGATTGGTTGTTCCTAGGCATAGCAACAACTGTGAAACAGAGGGCATGAAAACAGACATATCAGCCCTAGTTAAAAATGAGGTTAACCAGAGCACAGTGAGTACCTCAGCATCTTAGGAGTGCCTTCAGTACCCTGGGATGTGTCTGGCAGAGAGGTGTTACAAAGCCATCAAACACTTCCTTTAAGAGGTGTAATTCTAAGATTTTATGCAGATTCATGCCAAAACCAAGTACTGGCACTAGCCCATGAAACAAGAGACCACTTGTGTCTTCTGCATGGGCTTGTGCTGCCCCTGATTGCAAGGTTGTCTTCTTTCCAGCTGCCTTCTACTCTGGGATATTTCTGACAGATATGTCAGTAGTCATAATAAACTGTGGAGTAATGCTGTTATATTCAGCATTGGGAAAAAGTGAAGACACTACTGGTGTAATTTCCATTTGTGACCTAAGACAAGACTTACATGTGTCCAAATTGAACAAAGAGCAGCCTGTGCAGAACCCAACAGGAAGATATGTTTCAGAGGCAACATACTTGCAAAAGGTTAATCTAGGATTTTAAGAAATGAATGGCTGACTGAGACCATGGTTATCTTAGAAATTCTTAGGAAGCAGATGCTGTGTAATTTGATTTTTTAGATGGAAAATATTTAAGATAACAAGAGAAAAGAACTAAAGTAAATGAGAATTATATAATGGAAAAAAAGAAAAAAAGCAAGACTGACAAAAGCTTTGAGAAATATACTGATGAATGGAGAAAGTGAAAATACTTGAGATCTTGTCTGTTAAACATCTCCTTGTAGAAGGAACAATATCACAGGGAAAGAAAGGATTGTTTGAAATCTCTGCTTTAACTTCACGTGGTATTCACAAACAGTCTATTTCATATCTGTTAAGACCATGTCAATTACAAACAACAAAACTGCAGTATGGCAACTTGTTGAAAATCAGTGAGAAAATCTTTGTTGTATCTACTAACTGGATCAAAAGTAGAACTTAAATATGAGCTTTCTGATCATGAGTTTTTTCTTAAGAGTTCACAAATAAAGAACTGGTCTTTATTAAATAATAAATATTAAAAATGACATCACACAGAAATGTGCCAATGTAATGATGGAGAATGATTTTTAGCCTGTGCAGAAGTGACTGCTTTTAAAACAAGTGTTTTTGATGAGAGGTTTATCTTTGATTTGCTGGGTTGTGCCAAATGAAGGATATGTTTTTTTTCCAGTGCAGTCCTATGAAATTTAATTACCAGAGAAAACAGGCAAATCTCTGCTATTTATATATTTTGTCAATGGAACTGTTGTAATTTTAAGTTCATATAATGCCAGAACAGGCAAAGAACTTGTGAAACTTATGGCTTTCCCCAGAAACTGCATCACGGTGCAGATTTTTTTTGTTGGTTTGTTAGGATGCATACATCCAAAGGAACTTTTGACCTACTTCAGAACTATATATAGAAGCCTCCACTAAAAACCAACACTTAACACTGCATTAGTAAAACAAACTTGATCAGATACTGCTGAAAAAATAACTTACACAGTACAACTCTCTTTTTGAATGTAAAATTGTATGTTCTTTTCATTTTATTTTGTTGTAACAGACATGTCTTAGTTATAAAGGTCCAAGAATTATAACACTAGAAGAGTTTAATACATAAAAATTTGGAGCATTAATCACAGCAAGAGAAAAGAGGCAGACTTCTTTTTCAATACCAGAATAATGTATTTCCCTCTTTATTGCAAGAATAATGTATTGCTCTCATGACAATATATTCTTCAATTATGATTTTGATTATCATAGGACTGACTTCGCTTATAACTGGCAGTAACTCCAATGTTTGCAGTTCATGCTGAAATAAATATTGCATTCATCCTCTCTGAGCTGAACCTAACCCAAAGTCAACACAGTTATGCTTCTGTATTTACAGAATTGAGGGTCAGTTTATATTTCCATTATACCCTTTATTTTTAAAGGTCTTAACTTGGATTTTGATTTTTGTTGTGTTTATTTTAGGCTTTCTCAACTTAAAATATTAACTGCATGAAAACCACATGTGTATGCAAAATAAAATATGCATGCCAGAGAAAAATTGTGATTCAGCTTTGAAATATATGGATTTTCAGTGCCTGGAAGGTAAAAAAAAAATACAAACCTCCCATGAGGAATAGCCCAAAATGGATTTGCTCCAGATGCAACAATCCATAGTCCCAGAGCTGATTCCTGGGAACCAGGTAATTTTGACAGGACTTCAGGAAAGTAGTAGCGATTGGAAGCTTGAAAGTAAAATTCAAACATGTTCTTGTATGCAGTCCTGCACAGATACACAAACTTAGCACTACACATGATATCAGTCTAAGTTAAAAGTATGCCAAACCAGAGCACCCAAAGTCAATTTTTTTATGCACAGAACTGAAAGCACTGGAGTTATCCAAGTAATAATCTTCACTCATATGCCATAATCTCCACTAATTTCTCCCATATTAGCTCATTCCTTAATTCATGCCCTGGTGTATCAGCACACAGATATTGCATTTGAAGATGGTGCATAACTAGAAATCCAAGTATTATAAGGCAAGATCTTATTGCAAAGTTTTGAAGTATATTTCACTATACCATTTGAATGTAAGAATTACCTTGACATTCTTGCTTCAGAACTGCTGAATACCAGGAGTACCTGAGGAGACAGACAAATCAAAACACTCCTGGTGCATCCTGGTAAAATACCTCTAAATTTGTACTGGGTACAGTTCTATACCATGACCATCAAATTGGATCATTTCTAAGGTAATGATATAACCTATATTTTGAATTCAGTTAATCCAACTGATATGGTTAGAGAGAATATTTCCGTGTTCTATTAGAAGACAGACGGTGTGTGCAATCAGACTGAGCTCTAAAAACATTACCTGTGAAATAATAATTACAAAAGAGGTATTTATTTGGTTACTTCAATGTTACAATCTTCTGAACCCATGCTTATATTGTCTTAGGACAAATCTTTAAATTATTCTAGAAAGATAGAAATCTGCTTTTCATCTCTCTCTCTCTTTTTTTTTTTTTTTATCTTCCCATTAGCAATATTTTAAAATTTTCCTTAGTAATTTTTCCTGAAAGCATGTCCATGAATACTGCTCTACCACTCCTCCTCAGCTGGACATGAGAGAAAAAATACAGTGTAAGGCTCATGGGTCAAGACAAGGACAAGGAGCTATCACTCAGCATTTACTGTCATGGGTAAAACAGATGTGACTTGGGGAAAATGAATTTAACTTATTACCAATCAAATCAGAGTAGGGCAATGAGAAATAAAAACAAATCTCACAAGCACTTTCCCCTACACTTCCCTTTTCCCAGGCTCAGCTTCCCTCCTGATTGCTCTGTCTCTTCCCTGCTAGCAGAGTGGGGAGATGAAGAGTGAGAGCCACAGTCAGTTCATCACTCCTTGTCTCTGCCACTCCCTCTGCCTCAGGGGGAAGCCCTGCTCCAGTGTGGGTTCCCTTCCACAGTCCTTCACCAACTTCTCCAACATGAGTCTTTCCCACAGGGTGTGGTCCTGCAGGAATAGGCTGCTCCAGCATGGGATCCCTTGGGTCACAAGTAGGGTCACAAATTCTGCCAGCAAACTGGCTCAGTGTGGGCTTCTCTTCCCAAGCGTCTGCATGTCCTGTCAGGAGCCTTATCCAGCACAGGCTTCCCGTGGGGTCATGGCCTCCTTTGGCCATCCATCTGCCCTGGTGTGAGGTCTCCTGTGAGCTGCAGATGGAAATCTGCTT